CTCTTAATTTGTAAAAGAAATGAAATAGATACATAATTTTTCTTTGATATTGCCAAATTGACTCCTTTATTTTATCTTAACTGTATCTTTAAGGGGCTGGGATGTAGTCCAGTGATAGAGTTCTTGCCTAGCATGTCCAAGGCATGTATGCTCAATTCCTAACATAACAAAAAAAAGTTGTAGAGTTGTAATTGTGTCTTTATATAATTATTGTGATTAAACAAGTAATACTTTTTGGGGTTTTTTGTTGTTGTTGTTCATTGTGGGACTGGAAATCAGGGCCTGGGCACTGTCCTTAAGCTCTTTTGCTCAAGGCTAACGTTCTACCACTTTGAGCAACAGCACCATTTCTGGTTTTTAAGTGGTTAATTGGAGATAGAGTCTTAAGGAGGCTTTTCTGCGTGGGCTGGCTTCAAACCTCCATCCTCAGATCTCAGACTCCTGAATAGCTAGGATTATAGGCATGAGCCACTGGTACCTGGTAAGTAATACATTTTGAAAGAAGAGTCTCTTGTATTTATCCTGTGGTTATATTTATTCCTTTCCATGATTAAGGTTGTCACCTTCAAGCCCTTTTGTTACATTTGCCTTGTACCTTTGTAAATAGCTCTCCTCGTAACCCACCATCTATTTTTCACTACATATTTGTTTAGACTTTTCTATATATCACTTTCAGGCTACTCCTCCTAAATTATTAAAACACTTATATCATCCCCTTTCTCAATAGTGTTGCCTGTACAATAAAATATAGACTTGTTAACCTGTTATAGCCTAGTCCCAGATTCTCTTATTTTTTGGGGGGAAGGGGCAGGTCAGTTGTCAGGCTTGAACTCTGGGCCTGGGCACTCTCCCTCAGCTATTCAGCTCAAGGCTAGTGCTCTACCATTTGAGCCACAGTGCCGCTTTCAGTTTTCTGGTAGTTTATTGGAGGTAGAGTCTCACAATCTTTCCGGCCCCGGCTGGCTTTGGACCGCGGTCCTTAGATCTCAGCCTCCTGAGTAGCTAGGATTACAGGTGTGAGCCACCAGTGCCTAGCTAGTGCCAAATTCTTTTTTTGGGTCCGGTCGTGGAGCCTGAACTCTGGGTCTGGGCACTGCCCCTCAGCTCTTCAGCTCAAGGCGAGTGCTCTACCACTTGAACCACAGCACCACTTCCAGCTTTTTTTCTTTTTTCTTATGTGGTACTGAGGAATCGAACCCAGGGCCTCAGGCATGCAAGGCAAGCACTCTACCACTGAGCTACCTTCCCAGCCCCTAGTACCAAATTCTTATTCTCACTTAACCATACAGATTTCATACTCCAGCCAACTGATCTGCTCACTCTAGTCACATTGTTTACCCTTGCCTTCTGCAAGCCTTGATTTCAAGTCTACCTTATTTTTGGCTTTCTAATTTTGTTACTTTTTGTGATCTGACCTTTTTCTCCAGCTGTGGTTATCCCACTTATCCCTTTCAAATCCAAACTCAAATTAAGCTTCTCTAGGGAATATTTAGAAAGCAGCTAGATAGTAGAAATTGATTGTGTTTTAGAATATCTGCTAGTTATGTATTTTTGTACAACAAACCATTCAAAGCTTAAAACAACAAATTATCATTCTGTGGATTGGTTGGACTGTATTCTTAACTATTATTTATGTGGCTGTATTCACCCACTAGATCTGCTAGGCCACAGCTAGAAAGGCTCTGTCATAAATTTCCTATTATATCAGGAAGCTTTCCAAGAGGATAAACAATGCAGAAAGAGCCGGGCGCTGGTGGCTCATGCCTGTAATCCTAGCTACTCAGGAGGCTGAGATCTGAGGATCGAGGTTCCAAGCCAGCCCGGGCAGGAGAGACCGTGAGACTCCTGTCTCCAAAAAACCACCAGAAAACCGGAAGTGGCGCTGTAGCTCAAGCGGTAGAGCGCTCGCCTTGAGCTGAAGAGCTGAGGGACAGCACCCAGGCCCAGAGTTCAAGCCCCACGGCCGACAAAAAAAAAAAAAAACAATGCAGAAAGACTTTGTCCCACATAGGTCAAGAAAGTCACATGGTTAAACTCAAAGTCAAAAAGTGAACTGTACATGATATGGATATCAAGAGATGTAACCTATTGGTATAGCAGGCTTTCATCTGACTCTAGGAATTTTCCCAGCATTTCCATAGCAAAACATTTATCAGCCACAATCTGGTGATTCATGTCTGTTAATTCTAGCTACTCTACTCAGGCTGAGATATGAGGATCGTTTCAAAGATAGCCTGGGCAGAAAAGCCTCCGAGACTCCTATCTCCAATGAACTACCAAAAAGCCAAGAGTGTTGCTGTGGCTCATGCCCAGCCCTGAGTTCAAGCCTCAGGGGACACACACACACATACACACACACCTCTCAAGGCCTTAAAGCTTCATCCTTTTCATAGTATCAAATGGAAAATAACATTTGTATTTGGCAAAGATATAGATTTGGCTGCATGTATGCAGTTTCTCTTGATTTAAGGACCTGGGAACTACAAGGAAGTTACTGACCTCATCACTACCAGCACATGTCCAGATACAATAGTGAATCAGAAACAAAACCATAGTAGTGACTTCCATTAAAAATAAGGAGCTGTGCCGGGCGCTGGTGGCTCACGCCTGTAATCCTACCTACTCAGGAGGCTGAGATCTGAGGATTGAGGTTCAAACCAGCCCGGGCAGGAGAGACCGTGAGACTCCTATCTCCAATAAACCACCAGAAAACCGGAAGTGGCGCTGTAGCTCAAGCGGTAGAGCGCTCGCCTTGAGCTGAAGAGCTGAGGGACAGTGCCCAGGCCCAGAGTTCAAGCCCCATGACCGACAAAAAACAAAAATAAGGAGCTGTGCCCCAGAGCCAGTGCCTCACACCTGTAGTCTGGCTACTCAGGAGGCTGAGCTCTGGGAATTGTCGTTCCAAGTCAGCTGGGGCAGGAAAGTCTGTGGGACTGTCTCCAATAAACTGCTCAGAAAAAGCCGGATGTGGGGCTGTGGCTAAAGCACTAGCCTCTGTCAAATGAAGCTCAGAGATAACACTCAAGCCCAGGCCTGGCCAAAAAAAAATTCCAACCACAAATGCTGGTGGAGGATATGTGGCAAAACCCTGTTGGTAGAAATATAAACTAGTACAACCACTCTGGACAGCAGCCCTTCCCTATACACACAGCCATACCATTCTTGGGCCTTTACCCAGATCATTACAAAGCACAATAGAGTAAAGAAACTTGCACACCCATGTTCATTGCTGCACTATTCACAATAGCCAAGCTATGGAAACAGCCCAGATGCCCTACAGCAGTTCAATGGATTAATAAAATGTGGTATATATACAGAATGGAATTTTACTAATCCATTAAAACAAATAGGATTATGTTATTTGCAGGAAAGTAGATGGACCTAGAAAAAATCATGCTAAGTGAGGTAAGCCAAGCTGATAAACAAACTGCATGTTTTCTCTCATATGTGGAAGCTAGATGTAAAATATAACTGGACATGATAACCGATACAAGACTCTAGGCATTCACAAATGGTCAGACTAAAGGAGGATACCCATTGGGGAAGAACACAAAGGTGCAACTTCTCTGAACATTTAAGATACTAGTTATAGAAACCATCTCCAGGAAATGGAAATGCAGGAGGATGGATGATTGTTACTGTTTTGGGTGATGGCAGTGGTGTTTGTGCTTTTTTTTTCTTTTTCTGCTTTTTAATTGGGCAAAGAAAACACAAAGGGAGGGAGGGAAGTCATGATATTCAATACATTATGTAGAAAATGAACTATGCAGCTTGTGAGCAGGGATAGGAAGGGGAAACTGGGGTAGGCAGGGGAAGGAGTGACATCATCCAAAATTGTGAAATACAAACCCCTCTGTACAATACCCTAATAATAATAAAATTTATTTTTTATTGTGAAAATACCATACAGAGGGGTTACAATTACATGGGCAAGGTAATGAGTACATTTCTTATCAAGCATTGTTGCCTCCTCTTTTGTTTCCCCTTCCCATCTCCCCCATCCCACCCCTAAAATTTATTTATTTTGGGGGGGGGTCCAGTCGTGAGGCCTGAACTCTGGGCCTAAGCGCTGTCCCTCAGCTTTTCATATCAAGGCTAGCGCTCTGCCACTTGAGCCACAGTGCCACTTCTGGCTTTTTTCTTTTTGCTTATGTGGTGCTGAGGAATCAAACCCAGGGCCTCATGCATGCAAGGCAAGTGCTCTACCACTGAGCCAAATTCCCAGCCCCTAAAATTTATTTTTTAACAAAAAGTTTTATCTGGGTGCCCATGGTCCACACCTGTAATCCTAGCTGCTCAGGAGGCTGAGATCTAAGGATCGTGGTTCAAATCCAGCCTAGGCAAGAAAAGTCTATGAGACTCTTAGCTTCAATAAACCACCAGAAAACCGAAAGTGGCACTATGCCTTATGTGGTAGAACACTAGCTTTGAGCTGAAGAGCTGAGGGACAGTGCCCAGGCCCAGAGTTCAAGCCCCACGGCCAACAAAAACAACAACAAAAAAAAGTTTTGTTGAAAATAAATTATACAAGTTGTGGGTGGGGATGGGAGGGAAAAACTCAGAGAAAGAGAAGAGGTGATATTGTCCAAAAAGAGATGTACTCTTTACCTTACTTATGGCCTAAGTATAACCTTTCTGTGTGTCACCTTTACAATAACAATAAAAAACTTTTTTTAAAGAGGGAGCTGGACATAGTGGCACTTACATGAAAGAAGTATACTGAGAACAAAGTATCTAAATGGAACTGAGGAGGGGATCCCTCCACTGGCAGACCAGTGACTTGTAAAAGAATAAGGAGCATTTTAGAGAATAAAGTATCATGATCTGTTTGTTGGTCCCAAACTATTCAGCAGAGAAGCCTCTGTAAAAACTTCATTAAAAAGTAATATCACCATTCAAAAAAAGGAATCATGTGTGAAATTTTATTATTGAACACTGAAGTCTGACAATGATAAAATAAGGTTCTTGACATTTAGGCAAATCTTGTGTTTATGTTTTAGTCAAAGAAGTTTGGCAGAGATCACAGAACTTATCCACACTGCTCTCCTTGTACATCGTGGGATAGTAAATTTGACTGAATTGCAGTCATCTGATGGACCATTGAAAGACATGCAGTTTGGAAATAAAATAGCCATCCTGAGTGGAGACTTTCTTCTAGCAAATGCTTGCAATGGACTAGCTCTTCTACAGAATACCAAGGTAAAAACAGTTTGCTTGTGCTTTTATAGCTTTGCTTGTGCCAATGTGGCTTTTGGTTGGCTGCTGGAGTCACAGAGGGCTTTGTGCCTTGGTGCCTGATCCCCCTATATAAATGCCCAGTAAAACCCATGAAGGTGATGATCTCTGTGTCAAAGTGAGATAAAATTGGTATATGCTATAAAATAGTATTGAAGAGCCGAGAGTGGTAACACAAGCCTGAACTCCTAGTACTTGAGAGGAAGAGGCAAGAAGATTGTTAAAATCCAGTCTGGCTACACAGGCAGATCTTGTTTTGTTGTTGTTGTTGTTTTTTAAAAAAAGGATCCAAGCTTGGACTCATACCTGTGATTCTAGGGAAGTTGATATCAGAAGGATTGTGGTTCAAGACCATCCACCAAAAAATGTATAAGTCATAGCCCCCTTTCCCCCTTTAACCAATAAAAAGTTGGGCAGGAGTAGTACATGTTTGTCATCTCTGCTTCACAGGGAACATAAACAAAAGGCTCATGGTTCAGGTTGGCCCAGGCATAAGCATGAGACCCTATTCAAAAAACATTTTAAGGGCTGGGGTTTAGCCCAGCGGAAGGGCACCTGCCCGGCGCGTGCAAGGCCCTGGGTTTGGTCCTCAGCCTTGGAGGGAAAAAAAAATTTAAAGCAAAGAGGTCTGGGCTTATGGCTCCAAGTGGTATAGCACAAATCCAAAGCCCCAGTACTGCCCAAAAGTAAAAGACTTTTGAATTTGTTTTCTCATTGCAAATGAAATTATTTCCTGTGGCAGGGCACTGGTGGCTCGCGCCTGTAATCCTAGCTACTCAGGAGGCTGAGATCTGAGGATCATGGTTCAAAGACAGCCCAGGCAGGAAAGTCCATGAAACTGTTATCTCCAATTAACCACCAGGAAAACCAGAAGTAGAGCTGTGGATCAGAGTGGTAGAGCACAAGCCTTGAGCAAAAGAGCCCAGGCCCTGAGTTCAGTCCCCATGACCAAAATAACAACAAAAAAGAAAGAATATGGGGGGGGGGGTGAAGGATGGGATGGGAAGGGGAAGCAAAGGAAGAGGCTACAATGCTTGATAAGAAATGTACTCACTATCTTGCCCATGTAATTGTGACCCCTCTGTACAGTATTTTCACAATAAAGAAAAAAAAAAGAAAGAAAGAATTGCAGGGCGCTGGTGGCTCACATCTGTAATCCTGGCTACTCAGGATGCTGAGATCTGAGGATCGTGGTTCAAAGCGAGCTGGGGCAGGAAAATCCTTGAGACTCTGATCTCCAGTTAACCAGCAGAAAACCGGAAGAGGTGCTGTGGCTCAAGTGATAGAGTTCTCACCTTGAGCTGAAGAGTGCAAGGACAGCACCCAGGCCCAGAGTTCAAGCCCCAGGACTGGAAAAAAAAGTATTAATTTTATTAGGATAGTGTTAAACATTAAAAATAGAGAATATATAAATAGCCAAGTATGGTGGCATGTGCTTGTAATCTCAGCACTTGGGAGGCTAAGGCCAGAAGAGTAAAAAGCTAGCCTAGAACTACATAGAAGACAAAGAATAATATTATTATAAATAGTGGATTAGTCAATATTTTATTTTATTTATTTATTTATTTTGGGTCCGGTTGTTGGGCCTGAACTCTGAGCCTAGGCGCTGTCCCTCAGCTCTTCAGTTCAAGGCTAGCGCTCTACCACTTGAGCAACAGCGCCACTTCCGGCTTTTTTCTTTTTGCTTATGTGGTGCTAAGGAATCGAACCCGGGGCCTCGAGCATGCAAGGCAAGCGCTCTACCACTGAGCCACCTTCCCAGCCCCTAGTCAATATTTTAATGTATTCTCCATAGTCATGTTGTTCATTTGTATCTTTATTCATAGAAATCTTTTTGTAAGGGCTGGGAAGGTGGCTCAGTGGTAGAGTGCTTGCCTTGCATGCATGAGGCCCTGGGTTCGATTCCTCAGCACCACATAAACAGAAAAAAACAGAAGTGGCACTGTGGCTCAAGTGGTAGAGTGCTAGCCTTAAGCTGAAGAGCTGAGGGACAGTGCCCAGGCCCAGAGTTCAGGCCCCATAACTGACCATAAAAAAAAAAAAAAACCACCAGAAATCTTTTCATAAAATAAGAACTTCCTTGTGTATAAGATTTTTATATCCTTCCTATTTTTCCTATTAATATTTTTCATAAATTATAATGACTGCATCATATAATTTTATTTAGATAATATATTTAACAAATTCCTTGTTTTCTTATTTTTTACTCAAAAATAATCTGCAATAAATATCCTCAGATATCAATTTTCTCAATTCCAGACTATTTCTTTAAAATAAATGCTTTACCTAGGCACCAGTGCTCATACCTGTAATACTAGCTACTCAAGAGATGGAAATTGTATCATTGCTTAAAAGACAAAAGGTTCAGGAGACCCTCATCTCAAACAAAAGTTGGGCATAGTGATATACCTATCATTCAAGCTTCAAGGGAATCACAAATAAGAGGATCACAGTCAAGGCCAACCCAGGCATAAGTATAGACTCTACTCCCCAAAATATGCAGGGCTTTGTCAGTAGCTCACATGGTAGAGCACTTGCCAGCAAGCATAATGTCCTGAGTTAAAACCACATAAATGAATAAATAAATGAATGAATGTATTTTTACTATGGCTGATGTGTTGCTAAGCTGCTTTCTGGAAAGTTTAGAGAGTCATTCTTTATATATGAAAATTGGGCTTGACTATAAGACACTTGTGGCTCATGCATATAATATTAGCTTCTCAGAAGGCTGAGATCTGAGGATAGCGGTTCTAAGCCAGCCTAGACAAGAAAGCTATGAGGCTCTTATCTCCAAAGAAATAGCCAGCATTGAGCAAAAAAGAGCTCAGGTATAGTGCCTAGACCCTGAGTTCAAGCTCCACAACTGACATAAAAAGGTGGGGGGGAAGACTTAGTCTAAATAAAGTAGAAGTTTATGGTTTCATGTAAAAACATCCATAAGTTGGTATAGTGATTCTTCAGTGAGACTCCTTCTGTATACTGTTCTGTACTCCTCAGATCTTACCACTCAGGGCCTAACACAATGGCTCTGGTGCCAGAATTTAATATGGCCAGGAAATGCTACCTGTATTGCACATAGCCAAGATCCCAGTCAAAAACCTGTAAGATACATTCTGGCAGTCATTCTATTCTACAGCCTATTATACTTTTGAATATTGGCTGCATATTTTTCATGAGACACACCTTTTGTTTTTAAGGGAGAAAATAATATGATGCCTATAATATCTAGCTTATATCCACATGGGAAAAGAATGAATTGGACATATGAAGCAGAATAGTAGAGACAACAAATCTGCCTCCATTAGGCATTCTTTCTATCTTTATCAATGTAGATTTCTTTCTTCTCTCTCTGTATAATTACTTTGATGGGTCTCATTAAATTCTATTTAATTTTAACATTCACAAGTTAAAGTAAGGAGAGTAGTTTATTGTCCCTGGAGATACTGCCTGTATTGTCCACCTTTTTGTTGTTGTGACTTATGAGGAAGTATGGGCCTTGTTTGCAGAAGAAAAAGCCTCCACAAATATAGATCTGACAGACCTGTATGTGACATACTGTATCCATATCCAATGGCCAGCATGGCTTTGACTTGCATGAGTCTAAGAGGAATGAATATTTTGGACCTGTTGTTTAATGGTACCCCGGTATACACGTCAAGAATTAACCTCAGTGTGAGTCTACTTCAAGAAAGAAACCAAGGTTCATTGTCTTTATATAAATTTGTTTTCTCTCAATGTCAGTTTGAATTTACTTTGAGCTATTCTTATGAAATTTTATATAAGATTAAAAATAGTTTTATATGCCAGTACAGTCATGGTTAATGACACAATCACTCATTTAATCCTCTCTACTCAGTAGGAATAATATTTAATTAATATGTTCCCTTTAACTGGCTTGGATCAGTCACACATACTTTTTTCCTTTCACTGTGTTTTAACTTCAGGGAAAATGAAGGCTTTACTCTCATCAAAATCAGATCAGATTCACAGCCTGTGAAATCCGCTCAGTGTTTTGCATTCAGAAACATCACTATAAATGTTCCAGAATCTAAGACCTCCACCATCTGCTCCATTAGGCACTGGATTTCAGTAGCACTACTTGATTTACAAAGAGGAGAGAGGAGATAATTCCCAAACCATATCATATCTAAGCAACAACTAACTCAACCTAAAGATTCTCCTGTAGTAACATTGATGAGGCACTTCCTGCCTTTTTGATGAGCCCCATATTTTTACAGTCTCCGCAGAAGTCTGCATCTTTAAATTCACATTTATCATGTTTCTTCAATGAGGATTTAGGTCATAATATGGGTTTTTTCCCCCACTGAATTTGATAGTTGTTTGTTCAATCTAAGCCTTTATTCTATGCAGCTTTCCTGTTCATCCAAAACATGGATCTTGTGCACCTTGGTCTTCAAAGGGTCATTGAAAGCTTTGTCAGGTCGATTTCAAAAGATACTTGGCCAGCTCACTTTTTGTGAAAGGCCTTGGATACCATATCCAGGGATCTATGATTGATCTTGCACAGATCTAGGCTTTTAGTAGCTCTCTTTTAATCATAATAGATAATGTCCAAATCATGTGAACAGTATTGTAAAGAGAGGTGATTGTAAGAGGTCATTGAAATGCTTGAAAGTCAAGAATTCTCTTTGATAAAGCAAATCTCCCTTATTCAGAACCAGTTCCTTTCATTTAAATACTTGGCAAGATTTTCTCATTTTTATTTCAGAGATTTTATTGGAAATTAGTTACTGTCTTAAAAACTTAAGTATGTAATGAGTATGTGCATCTGATCATACAAAATAATATTTATCCAATTTAACTCCAGGAAATGGAAACAAGAGGGTTTTTTTTTTTTGCTTTTTTGCTATTTTTGTTTTCTTTCCTTTTTGTTCTGTTTGTTCATTTATATATCTTTGTGTATGGAAAGGGACAGAAATGGAGGGATAAAAGGTGAACAAAAT